TTAAAATGTGCTTATGGTGCCCAGGCACAAATTCTAATACATTTGGTTGTGAAGAAAATGTCGCAGGACAAGTAATTCCGAGAAAAATTGATATTTCTAGTTTTTCAATTTTCTTGTTTTACCCCCTAAAACGACCCTTGGACCCATTCGCAAGTCGAGTAAAATGCATTGAAACGTGCCTATGGTGACTAGGCACAGTTTCTAATACATTTGGTTGTGAAGAAAATGTCACAAGACACGTAATTCTTGGAAAATTTACATTTCTAGTTTTTGAATTTTCTTGTTTTACCCCCGAAACCCACCCTTGGACCCATTTGCAAGTAGAGTAAGATGCATTGAGATGTGCCTATGGTACCTAGGCAGAGTTTTTAATACATTCCGTTGTGGAGAAAATGTCGCAAGACAAGTAATTCTGGGAAAAAAACATATTTTAAGTTTTCCAATGTTTTTGTTTTACCCCCTAAAACCACCCTTGCACCCATTTACAAGTCGAGTAATATGCATTGAAATGTACCTATGGTGCCTAGCCACAGTTTCTAATACATTTGGTTGTGAAGAAAATGTCGCAGGACAAGTAATTCCGGGAAAAATTGATATTTGTAGTTTTTCAGTTTTCTTGTTTTACCCCCTAAAACCACCCTTGGACCCATTCGCAAGTCGACTAAGATGCATTGAAATGTGCCTATGGTGCCTAGGCACAGTTTCTAATAGGTACATTTAGTTGTGAAGAAAATGTCGCAAGAAACGTATTTCTGGGAAAAATCGAGAGAAAAATTGATATTTCTAGTTTTTAAATTTTTTGGTTTTACCCTTAAAAACCACCCTTGGACCCATTTGCAAGTCGAGTTAGATGCATTGAAATGTGCCTATAGTGCCTAGGCATAGTTTCTAATACATAGGGTTGTGAAGAATATAAGAAACGTAATTCTGGGAAAAAATTATATTTCTAATTTTTCCATTTTCTGGTTTTACCCCCTAAAACCACTCTTGGACCCATTTGCAAGTCAAGTTAGGTGCCCTGAAAGGTGCCTATGTTGCCTAGGCACAGTTTTTAATACATTTGGTTGTGGAGAACATGTCGCAAGACACGTAATTCAGGGAAAATTTGATATTTCCAGTTTTTCAATTTTCTTGTTTCACTCCAAAAAACCACCCTTGGACCCATTTGCAACTCAAGTGAGGTGCCCCATAATGAGTTGATCGTGTCCAAAAGCATTTTTGACTTCACCTGGTTGAGAAAAATATGTGGAAAGTCCCGTCCGTAAGTTGGTGAAAAATTAATATTTCAAATATTTAAATTCTTTGTTTACCTTCAAAAACAGCGCCGGTTCAAGGCTGTACCGGGCCCTAGGCGGCAGAAAGTATGGGGCCTTAGCCCAAAGTAACTTTTTACTGTTTTTGTCCAATTTGAAAAAAAAAGGCCTTTCAAAATGCTGCTGGAAAGTGTTTTGCAACGTTCTAAATGGCTTTTTGAAGTTCTAAAGTGTTCTAACTTGGCTTGAAGAGTTCTGGAGCATTCTAGAAGTTTTTCAGTAATTTCTAAATTGTCCTGACAGATTTTTAAGTATTTTAGAGCCTTATTGAACCTCCAAAAAGCTCTAAATTGGTTCAAAAAAGTTCTAAAAGGTTTCCAGTTCTAAATGAGGATTCAATTTAGAACTTTAAAATTGTTCTAAAATAACTCTGAAGTTTCTCAATTGCTCCTGAAAATTCTGATTTAGATTTGAACTGTTTTAAATGAGTTCAAAAGTTCTACTGCAATCTAAATTTGCTCTTTCTGCAAGGCTTTAAAAACGCTTTTCAAAATGTTTCTGGGGATTCTAGAGTGTCTGAGTTTGAGTGTTTTGGAGCATCCTAATATGGGTTTCAAACTTCTGAGTTGTTCTAGAATGCTTTTGGAAATCGGTGTTTGAATGTTTTGAGGCATTCTAAAATGGTTCTGAAATTTCCAAAATTTTCTGGAGCGCTACAGAATGCTTTTGGAAATTCTGAATTTAATTTTAATTGTTTTGAACTTTCCCAAAGGGCTATTGAAGCTCTAAAGTGTTTTGTAGCACTTTAAATGGTTTCCAGTAACTTCTAAATTAAATGAGATACGAATTCTGTGGAAAATTTTTCTTAAAGACGTCCCTAAGATGTCCATAAACGACATTCAAGACGTCTCAAAGACATCTTGAAGACATCGTAATGTAACAAAACCCAACGTCTTCCAGAGATCTGCCTAAAGATGTCTTTAGCACTAAGACATTCTTAAGACTTCTTCAACGAGATGTCTCAAAGACGTTTTTGAATCTCTTTTCAATACATAAATCATTATTCATTTTCAGGCTTGAAGAAGAAAAAGACATTTTATATGAACATCTTCTAAACAACGTCTTCTAGGTGTCTTTTTTTGGTCTTTAGACGTAATGCAGACCCTAGAAAAGACGTCTTCAAGACTTTGTGTGCTGTCTGGATAGTGGAACATCTCGTATCTATTATCTAGTACTCGTTCAATGGATATTCATCAGCAACATGACATAAGGTTGGGTGGACTCTACCTGAGTTGGTAATCCCACAGCTACAGAACAGTGTTGCCGATAGTGTGCGTAATTCGGGTGGTGTGTTGCGTCTCCAGAGCGCAAGGTTGCCAAAATAAGATATTTTATTTCAGAGTGAATTTCGGGCCCCATTGAGCGTCCGGGCCCTAGGCGGCCGCCTAGTCCGCCTAGTGGTAAAACCGGCGCTGAAAACATGTATTGGATCCATTTGCAATATTTTGTTGTTTACCTTTAATAACTGGATTAATTTTGTCGTATTTATAAAAAAAAAGGAATGTATAATATCTAACAATAAGACATAAACGACGCCACTGATTGTTCGGGTAGACTCGGCAGTCAGGTTGCTAACTGCAAGTTCATGCCAGTATACAATTTGGACAATTAAAGTTATGCATGTCATATAGTCAGGTGCCACTAATATATTAGAAAAAGGAAAAGGAAAGGCTAATCTAGATAGGTTGCTATGAAACATGGGAAAAGCTAAACCCAAACTCAGAACATGTGCATAGAAATACACCTTCCACTTCAACTGGATTGTCACCAGCTGAGAATTTATTCAAATTTCGACCTCGTACTCGGTATAACTTGATAAAGCCTTGTGCAAATCAACAAGCTAAACTTAGATCTGACATTGCTAGAACACTCAAACTCTATTCTGAGAATGACATTGTATATGTTAAAAATGCTCATACTAAATTATGGCAAAAAGGTAAAATAGTTAGGTGTATGAGCTATTATACTTATCTTGTGCAAGTTTCTGATAGTATTAGGCTTGTACATGCAAATGACATTCGTAACTGCAGTGCAATGTATCCGGAAGTGACCAATAACAGAAATAACGCTACTAGTATAAATGATAGACTGGATATACCAAATTCACCAAATGTGACTGTTCTCATTGTGTCTACAAATAATTCCACAGTATCTGGAAATGTATCTCAAACAGAAGTCGCGGAAGTACCAGTGTCCACAAACTATAACTATGATCTAGGTCAACCTAGTAATAATCAGTCTAATGTCTATACTAGAGAATCAAATACAAAGTTTCAAAATTCTCCGAAAGCAGTTGTTGTCCCTGTTACTACTCCGACTTCTAGATCTAGATATGGTAGGTCAATTAAACCACCAGTTAAACTTAATTTGTAAGCTTTTTTAATTAAGGGAAGAATTGTAAGATATTGATTTTGATAAGGTTTGGCGAAACATAGATGTTTGCTTAACATAGAACTTCATTTAGGTACTTGAGTGCTCCTGTAATTTCATGCTATGCTTCACGAACATCGAAACAGAGGTGTTTTAGGATGTTTTCAGCTCGATTAAAAAAAAAAATAGCGCTCGCACACGCCGTTTTCGTATTCAAGGGGCAATTTTTTTGACCTCATCGGTATTTCGCTAGGGTGGGGTGACTTTCACCCCTGTTTCTTAGATAGGGAAGATGTGTCGAGTGGTACCTTGTTTCCAAGGTATTTTGATTCGCGTCACAAGTGCTTTTTTTTGAAAATCGAATGATTAGTTCTCAAGATATTCCCTGTCAAAGATGCCATGGGCTAAATAAGAAACAATTTTCCGGTCCCTTAAATTACACTTTCCTCTCCGACACGTCAATTTCAATTTTTTGAGTGCTTCTTAAAAAATGAAAATTGATGTGTCCGAGAGGAAAGTGTTAATTTTAGAATAACAAGGCCAGAAAATTGTTTCTTATTTAGCCGATGACAACTCTGGCAGTGAGTATCTTGAGAACTAATCATTCGATTTTCAAAAAAAAAAAACGCACTTGTGACGAGAATAAAAATACATTCAACAAAAGGTATCACTCGACCGATCTTCCGAATCTAAAAAAGAGGGGTGAAAGTCACCTCACCCAGGGGGTGCACCCTAACGAAATACCAGTGGTTTCAAAAAGTTTCTCCCTTGAATACAAAAAATGTACATCTACTCTCTAATCTTTTCTTCATTCGATTTTCAACAAATAGTTCCTACGTCGTTTTAGAATCTACCTATCTGTTGACTGAAGTATTATCTTTTCGAGAAAATAAGCAAAACCATGCAAAATTAATCTAGCTGCATTCAAATTTTTTATGGCTATAAATCTCATTTATCTGAATTATTCTGGATCAAGCTTATGGTGCAAGTCACCCTGTCGGCATATTTAAATAGTCAAATGTATAGTCCCTCACAAGCATTAACCCATCCTCAACATATTGACAATGCATTTTTATGGAATGTCCATGGAAATTTGTTATTGATATTTTTTGCACTAACCGATAATTTTATTAATATATGTATGTGTTTTAGTGGATTATTTTTGTGTCACTCTCTGTATGTTGAACGCGGTAATTCAGGATTCTTTTTCCAAAAATAACTCACTAACGAAAAAACCGTTTGCGACCTACCAAATGGGTTTTTCAATGTTTTTTATTTATTTGTGTATTTGTTACTAAATGTGTCTTTTACTTCAAGGAACGAGCTGAGCGAATGACAAAAGACAGGGTATGTCAACAATTATTCAAACAGTAATATTTTTAACAATTATTCTATCGCTATATTTTTTCAACAATTAATGAATCTACCTATACTAACTCCCTCTATTTACTAACAGTTCATTTCGACAAATTTCTGACAGCAACAATATTAATTTATTGAATAGAAAATATTTGTCAAGTTGCTGTGAAAAATTTGATTGTTTTTAGATTGAACCTATTTAATTTGTTTAGTATCTCTTAACAGCTCTAATAGCTCTCTATTTTCCTGTTTTTTAAATTATTCCCTATAGAATTTAGGTATAATTACATACAAATTTATTTTTTGTAACATTATTATTATAATAAATTCGTTTTTGGGCCAGTTTACTAGAACACTAGAAAGTTTGGTAAAAATCCTTTATAGAGTTAAAAGAACCAAGGTTAGTCTTTTTTTAAAAAAAAAGAGCATGAATGCACTCTAGTTTAGGAGATTATTGTCACTTCCTAATTGACTTTAACTTGTAGATTTACTTGTATTTTTATGTTTTTAGACTAAAGAGCTAGATGTTGCTGCCCTTATTGGAAAATGGTTAAAGGTTTGTTTTCTGAGTATTTCTGCAAGCTTTGTTATTTTTATTTACATAGTGTTTTTCCGTGATCTAAAACTTTTCTTCCAATTTTGTTTTTGCTTTTTTTTTTTAGACTTGAGTTCTTGTATCTTGAATAAACAAAATAATTTCGTGACTAATAAGCCACTCAAGTCAAGGCTAGTACAAGAGGAACTACCTAACGACTAAGATTCTCTTACAAAAAAGTTTAGTTCTATTGCTAAAATTCCAGTCCACTCTGTGCAAGGCTATATCGGTCAGTGTTTATTGTAGAAGTGTTCTCAATATGGTCATTGAAAACATTTTTTAATCAATGTTTCGTCTTTGCCTCTCCACCATTTTCAACCTTTCATTTTTTTAGCAGCCTAAAATAAAGTTCCATTTCGGGATATAGATGTCTTCAAGAGAAATTCCTGCAGAATATTATTACTGGAAGGTGTGTTTCCACCACTATGATCCTCTACTTTTGGCTGAGACTTTTACCTTATTTATTATTCATGTTGCCTATGACCAGCACACATATATCGATTTGGTACTTGATTGCTCAACTTTGTCCATATTCAGCAACATCCTTATTACTTATATCACGAGACCGATATATGACTGAAAAAAATCCTTCAACTTTACTCAACAGCTAACTACTGACAACATTACCGTCAATACAAAAAAAATACCTAGAGCCCTATTGAAATCACTTTTACATACAAACTCTGGATTGAATAGAGCCTTCCAGAAAAATTCATTCTAGGGCTTTTTTCCCCGATCATGGGATATTTGATAACATATTAAATGACAAAGCTTGTCCGAAATCTTAGAATCAAAGCTCATAATCTTGATTTTTATCAAAGTAAAGCAGTAAATTGCATGTAGTAGCATGATTTAAATTAAATTCCCTTTTCGAAGTTCAGTAGAGAAAAAAAAAAAAAAAAAATGAAAGGATTTACGAGTGTTTTGGTAAGTACAAAACTCACCAACATAACACCAATTTACACCAAAACACTGTGTACACACTAAATTTTTTTTGTAAATACAATGAACAAATTTTTATTTTATTTTTTTCTTGGGTAGAATAGTGTAGATTATTTTATTTTTAGAATAGAATTATAGTATATTGAATTAATTTTTGAATTGGTTGTATTTAAAAATAGGTGATGATTGGAAAATTAAGTTTACAATTTTTGTCTTATATTTTCTTTTTTCGACCTTTAGATGACAAATGATGTTTTTCTTGTATTTAAAAAAAAAATCTTAATTTTCTTATCTTTATTATATTTCTTTCACAATCCATAATTTATAATACTAGTGAAAAGACAATTTTGAAATTAGTTACGCTAGGGTAACTTTTTCCAATAGATATATTGATCAGAAATTAAACTAAACCGTAATACAGTTTTAGACTGTTATTTCTTGTAGTTTTTAATTACCTTCTTCAATCTTAGCAGATCCTCGACCTAATCCTCTTTCAAAAAAAAAAATATTCAACATAACTAACAAAAGAAAAACATTTTTTCAGTATATAGTTAATTAGAAATAAACAATTTACTAATTTAAATGTGAATAATTTTTAGGACAACTTCATCAACGTCGGTTTTCTAAGACTTTTTCGTGCTGCCAGATTGATAAAACTATTGAGGCAAGGCTACACCATCCGAATATTGCTTTGGACCTTTGTTCAGAGTTTTAAGGCTCTTCCATACGTTTGTCTTCTGATCGCCATGTTGTTCTTTATTTATGCCATTATTGGGATGCAGGTAAGAACCTAAAACAGATTTGGATTCTTTGTATACTTTTCTAGGAAGTTTCCTCAATGTTGTGTTTTTTTAGGTTTTTGGCAACATAAATCTCCCAAGCGAATCAATAAATAGGCATAACAATTTTAGAAATTTTATCCAGGGTCTCATGCTATTATTTAGGTAGGTAAGTGCGAAAATTTAGCAGTGTTGCAAGTTTATGACTTTTAGGTGTGCTACTGGTGAAAATTGGCCAAGCATAATGCTGTCCTGCATAAAAGGGCAAGAATGCGATCCCAATACTGGCAAACAAGGCAAAGAATGCGGCTCAAACTTGGCTTACATGTATTTTGTATCATTTATTTTCTTTTGTTCATTTCTTGTAAGTTTTATTTTATGATAGATGTTTAATAAATAAATTTTATAATAATTACATTTCAGATGTTGAATTTGTTCGTGGCTGTCATCATGGACAATTTCGATTATCTAACCAGAGATTCCTCGATATTGGGTGCACATCATTTAGACGAATTTGTTAGAATATGGGCTGAATATGATCCGAATGCCACGTAAGTATCTAATTGTATTCTGCCACGCTTTTTCGCTGATTAAAAAGTTTAATAAAAAAAAAATAATAATAAAAAAAAATAAAAGTTGAAAATAAAAAGAATTAAATAAAATAAAAAAAAAATAATAAAAATAAAAATAAATGAATGGAGAACTTGAGATTGTAGGACTGAAGGTCAAAGTGCGTGCAAATTATGCCCTAGCTCAGAACTAAATAATTCGGAGAGTAGGGGTGGGTTTTAGTTTTGGGCGCCACCGACTCTGAACAGATAAGTCGGACTCTCCAGGATGGTATCTGGCTTCAGGTCCTTACAATTCAAATAATAATTAATAAAAAGAAAAATATTAGCAAAAACCAGGCTGTGTGCATAAAACCAAATAAAAGTCAAGAAATCAAGTGCTACAGTTGTTTATTCACCAAATGGCCGCAGTCCACAATGAACAATAATTTGAATTAGGAAAAAAAAAGAATAATCAAGTAAATTAGCAATATTACCAAAGTGTGAAAACTGTTTACTAATTTGCCATTCAATAAAATGAATTGTCATCAATTCAATTAATAAAATGACCTTGTAATGAAGTGTCAACCAACAAATACAGAAATGCTATACTTTTGAAATAATTTAATAGTTATTTATACACCAAGTGAGTTAAATGAGTGTTTATTCATGAGAAGAAAGTTTAACCCACGAGCCCTAGCGAGTGGGTTAATTTTCTTTGAATGAAGAAACATTTTAACTCAAGTGATGTATACAAAATTTTATCCCATTTTGTGGAAATTCAAAAAATAAAGTACAAGGAAAAATGCCGGGAGTGAGTTAAAAATATTTTAAATCATTTAGGTTTCAAATTTTTAGTTGGGCAGAGTGACTTAAAATGCCGAGAGTGAGTTAAAATGTTTTTAAATCACTGAGGTGATAAACGTCTACTTACCTTTATTGTTATGCGTTCAATAATGTCATTTTTAAACGTCAAAATGGGATAAAAAAAAATAAATGAATAAATAATAAGATGGAGCGGTTATCTTACACTTATGTAGACAGAACTACCAGTAAGTTGACATTAATTAATCAGGTTATGTCTAGTTAAGTTACCTATTTAATAATTCATTTGCCACACTGGGCAAGCAATGAATTACTCCCTGAAAAACCGAAAGTGATCACTATGGTGTACAAATAGGGACAGAATGTAAACAAACAATAATAATATATAGGTTAACTAAAACTAGTACGATACCAAAATGTTCCAGGTGATGGTAGTTCTTACAATTAACCAGATTAGTCCTGGCTACTGGTTGTGGTTAAGTTGATTGAAGACCTGAGTAACCGTCCAATTACTTAGGCTGGTGTCTGTTAGCCTTTTAGTTCAATTTCGGCTACGATTGAACGTCTATTGTTGTAACCGTGAGGGAAAACTTGATGGTAAAATACCCCTCGCAAGAAAAACCCTAAGAGAAAAATTGTTATACACACTGTATTTGTAATTGAACCAATAGCGAAGCACTTCATGAATAAATTGAATTAAAATATGAAACTATAATGTAACTCAATTAGTTTCCAATAGCAAATTTACTTGATAAAAAAACTATAGCTCTTGAAAATTATTTTAATAGAAAAATTGAACAATAATGTATTAATTAATTAAATTAGATGAAATCATAATAAAGCTTTGATATTAATTAAGAAAAATGTGCCTCGAGTTTGCAAAAATTGAAGTTATTAAGGTTACGTTTTTACCTGTTGGAAATAGGGCTTGTTTGCCTCGAAAATCTCTGGAAATCTGGATCGAGGTCTGGATTGAATATCCTGGAGTGAGTGAGATTATTCTCTACTCTTTAGGTCAGGTTTCAACTAATAATTGAATGGAAAAAGTCAGAATCTTCTATGGGAAAAAAACGTGTAAGCAACTTACCACAAATGACTGTTTTTTTTAAATCCGATAACATCGGCGAAAATTATGGGACTTTACGAAAGTAAAACACAACGCAAGGTAACTCAGTGTGCCATCAATTCAATTCAGAAGAAAATCGGGCCCAGAATCCCTTTTTAAGGTGAAGACAAAAATTAATTCTTCCTGAAGGACCTGCTTCTTCAAACAGTCAACGTGAAAAGAAAAGTGCTCCATATTAGATCAACGAGCTAGCCTAAAGATAGATTCAGAGATGATGCAGAATAACGAAAAACGTCAAAAATTAATCGATAGAATTCTCACTTACCAAAAATTGCACACAACAATATAATCCGAGAAAAATGACAACGGCTAATAAATAATGATATTACCAACAAATAATTATCCCATAAAACAATCAAAACTTGAAGAATACAAAATAGAGTAAGTGATCCGTTTGCAAAATTAGAGGGCTTAAAGAAGAATCGACGATACTAAAAACATTACTAATCGACCGCCGGTTGACAGAACATATTGACAATCAAAAAGTCAAAAAACCGAAAGCAAGGATAATGCATAACATCTCAAAAGGCTATTGAACCAATGATCGACCCGGGATTCAAGAGAACTTGCACCGATATCAATAGCGCTCAATAACCGAACAGAGTAAGTAAGTACGAACGGAGTAGTTCTGTACATACACTTGAAAACGGGTCATTATGATTTCGGAACCTAACCTCACGAAATATTTTTGACACATGAATTAATTATTTGTTATGAAAACAGATGGTTGAATTTAAAATTGGAATCAAAATATTGATTTGTTTTGATTTTGAAATTGCATTAAATCATGGATTAACAGGAACTAGTAACAAATGAAAATAGAATTTGCCCATTGAAAATTAGGAAATTTAAAGGATCTACAACCGTTGAGATTATTGATCAAATTTTATAGAGAGAAAATGTTGACAAATTTAAGGAAATCTTGAATATAAAATTGACAGTAGGTAAGGATTAGTTATGTAAGTTTGGACCGTTACAATTCCTTAAGTGCAGACTGTTAAAGGGGGTGTGACCTTAAAATACAACTTGCTTTCAGAAAATAAAGAAAAAAATTCTAAGAACTCTTGTGAAAATCTCGCATCGCTACTCAAAATAATAAAGTAGATACACCTAAATAAATGTTTGTCTATTCCTCGCGTGACGTCACAACCACGCGACGAGCGTGTTGGCCGGCTCAGGGCGCGAGGCGCGTGTCATTACACGCTTAGTAGTAGCCTATTTATTTGTGTATGTCGTTTATAGATTAACGTTTTTCTGCTTAATTTGTTCGTTGCTTGTCGATAGTGTTTCATTTATGTAATAACATTAAAAATGCCTAATTGCTGTGTTGAAGGTTGCAATAACAATCCTAAAAATGCTGGTGTTTCGTTGCATTCATTTCCGAAGAAAGAACTGCAGCCAGCTCTATACAAAGCGTGGAAAAATCGCAAAAACCGGAAAAATTTTAATCCCAATCATCACCATGTGGTTTGTAGTGTACACTTTAATGAAAATGACTTTGAACATAGTTTAAAGACGAATTTATTGCCTGATGAGAAGATAAAGATGAGATTGAAGAAGAATAATATTCCGACTCTCTTTTTATCCAATAAAGGTGCTACAAAGGAAAGTATATTAAGAATTTCCACGTATCTTCGTGAAACACTTGCACCATGTAAGCGAATTAGGTCTTTCAGGGTTTTTGTCAATTTTTCCTTTTTCCTCGTCGTTTTTTAATTTCTAGTTCTTTTTTAGAATATTTTGGTTCAAAACCAAAAGCCATTATTATTGAAGAAAAATCTCAGAATATCTTATTTTAAATTAAAATAACCTATTTAAACTTGAACGCAAAAACAATACGATAATCTCGATATATTATTATGCAGCAAGCATGAGCAAACGCGCGCACAACGCCGGCCGGCGCACTCAGCCATGGTTCTGACGTCACAGTGCTGGGAGTAGCAACTTCATACCACGATATCTTCGCAACGGTTGGTCGTAGCCTGGTGCGGTTTGAAAATTTGTTCTTAGATTTTTTTTTTCCAAAACTGTTATTTTTGGGTCACACCCCCTTTAAGGATACCTATCTTCCCTTGATTTTGCAAGAAAATAACGCTAGGGGATTTTTTTTTATTACTTCGGCAATATTGCCGACCTTATAGAATTACATGAGAATCGTAGTTCTTCATGACCAATAAAACTCAATATTTGAACGAGCACTTGGGATATTTATTCCAGGACCTCTATATTTCGAAATAATCCGAAATACCTTGGGTCATTCTCTTGGAGATAAAGTTTGTGACCTTTTGTCAGAATACTAGACCGCTCATAATCAAACCTAGCTATAGTCACCGTTTGTTAGCTTTGGGTGGTTATTAGAGTTTGTGAAGTTTTAAGAGGACGTTAGTGGACTGCGGAAAAAACCTATTTACAAAGTGATGTTGAGATATAGCCAATCCAGTCTGAATCCAGACAATATCGCAATATCCGAAATATTTATAATAGACTCAGAAAGATAAGTATCTAATATTGTAAAAAATCTGGGAACCACTCGATAGGTACTTGACTATAAACTATTCCAAAACAAAAACATAAAATATGAATATATTTAACAATTAAATTAAATAGCCATGTGAGCTATGGAAACACTTACATACCGTAAAGAAAGGCACAAAACAAATTGTAGATATTTTCAGGAAAGTCTTTACGGAAGCGATAATAGAATTTGAGAAAAAAATGTGCAAGTTAGATAATTAGCAATTAAACACTGATAGAAGCCTGCCCGACGAAACCACTGCAAAGGTCTGGTGAAGACTGCTGGCTGTCTAAAAAGAGTCCACGCTCTGAACATAATAATTGGTCAGACTCTGCGCGTAATTTTCCATGATTGAGGTGGAATCCTATCTATCATTAATCAAGGGGGCGAAATGTTACCAAGTTATATACCTGGATCCTTATTCTTGAAACAAGGGAGCAGCGTTCCCAGGAGAACAAGTGTTCTGTCTTTTTCAATGATATGGAAATGATAATATAAGTAACGAAGACGGAAATCTCGTTCTCCTGGGAAGGCTGCTCCCCTGTTTCAAGAATAAGGACCCTGGGCTGTTGTAGAGGGGAGGAAGAGGGGCCTGGTGAAGCATGATCGATCACCGTTCTTCAGATACTTATTAGAGTGATTCTTCGGAAAATAGTGTTTCAAATTTAGTTGAGCTTAGGTATGCTCAAGGCGTTGATGGTATCCTGGGGCGGCTGCCAAAAGCCTAACTTCTACAAAAAGTATATCTTGATTCCCTTCAATGAGCGCTCTTCTGATGCAACTGAGGATTTATCAGTTTAACCAAGTCTGCAGTTTCTTCAATGTTCCCTTATTCAGCCAATGTAAACCTTATTTACCACATGCGATTGAATACGGTGGACTCCAGCGGTTGACAGTGGATCCCTCTAATCTTTGACTGATCTAAGGGATTGGTATATATTCCTCGTTTGTTTGAACATCGTCCTTGTGTTGTGTTTTTTCAAGATTTCTATTGCTGTCAGGAGCGATATAAATGCCATAGATGCCATGTGAACAAGATCAAGGTTATTGTATCCGGTCTATTTAAAGGCTATCTTAGGGTGGAAAGATTTTTTTCCTAGATGTTGTGGCTCATGGATTCATCGAGCACATTATTCCGTTGATGTCATGTTATAATTCTACGCTTCTGACTAGGTTATGGTTGAATAGCTTATGCAGATACCTATCAGAGTTTGTGGTTACACTGTGGGACTCAGTATCCTGCCAGATCTACTTTTTTGAACATCTGTTGGTGGCGTTCTGCTTCCAACATAAATTTTATACTCGTATGCTACGCGTAGATGAGACTTGCCCTCTCTTTCCTGATTCCATACAAAAAAGGTGTCACGTTTGCCGGTTTGAGGTGGAGGGACTCGACTGCTTTCTTCATGAAATTTTTCATATAGATTTTGGCGATAACTGGGCTGAGTGGCCAGAAATTCGAACAGCAGGACTGGCCCAAATATTTCCAGGCTGAAAAATTATATCTTGAATCTTCCTAACAAAGTGAGTCAAGTCCTTGATATTTCGTACATGAGGTTAGGCAGCGATGCAAGATGGTTTGCTAGGCTAAATGACTCGGATTTACTCGCTATCGGTCATAGTTCGGCTTTGAATGTTTCAATGATATTTGTCTGAACCGCTTCTCTTGACCAATTTGTTGATGTTCCGTAGTCTGGCTTGCCAAGGATCTCGATTTTTACTTTTGGCAACTTGATGGATGATGGATCATGAATTTCTCAAATTTCCCGAAGAAAAGTACTTTCTAGAGAAACGAAAAATACTAATTGCGAAAGCCTCAACGTCGATTTATCATACGCAGATGTCACTGTATGTATTGAAATGAAATTGCCAAAACTTCACTCCAACAGAAAGTTTGGTCGTAGATATTGTCACAACCTTCTTGTGGGTTAGATGGATGAAGAGAAACTTGCTGAGTTTATATAAAAATATGTATATTTGCTCTACGAAATCCTTACATCAATCCTCCAATATGCATGCCTCTTCCTTGCGGAGTCGGAGGGCCACACGTTAGACGCTACGTTGATTTTTAATACTTGCTTACCTGATCCTCATCTAGAAGGGTTTTCTCAGGGTGGCGGTACGTCGCACTAGATGAAAATGCAGTTATTCAGAGCTGATTTTCCAAGGTGGCGGTACTAGCACTGGAGAAACTTGACTCCAGGGGCCTTATTCTTGGAACAGGGGAGCAGCGTTCCCAAGAGAACAAGTGTTCCGTCTTTGTTACTTATATTATCAATTGCATATCATTGAGAAAGACGGAACACTCGTTCTCCTGGGAAAGCTGCTCCCCTGTTTCAAGAATAAGGACCCAGAGGGGCGTTTACAGGGTGGCGCTACTACAGGGGCGGATACAGGCCTTTTGAAAGGGGGGGGGGGCAGTTTAAGTTAAAGTAAGCCAGATTAGGTTAGTTTGGGTTAGTTTTGGCGGCGCATTGTGCAAGATACGGTTTTTCGAAGGAATGGCCCATAAAAGTATGGGAATGGGGGAACTATACTTAGGAGAATAAGGTGATTTCAAATAGATAGGTACATAATATTATTGATTTTATATGAATATTTATTTATTAGAACAAAAAAAAAACAATAGATCAACTCAACCACTACTTAGGTAGTGACAATAGTGCTAGTTTATTAAATTTAATTAACAACAAACTTAACACAACACAAACTGCTTTAAAGCTAGTATAAAAACGAAATAGAAAATAAATATTTGCATTCTATTATTCAATAATAGGTAGAAAAAATGACAAGATACATAGGAACACTAAAAAAAACAACTGAAAATAAATATTATACTTTCCCAATCCGTATCATGAGTTTATAAAATAAAATCCATTTTTCTTTTAGATGCTTTGGCAAATATGTCAATTACATTTTCTTCATTTACATCAATATCTCTATGAATATTGAGTAAAGCCAAACCATAAAGCCTTTCCTGTGACATATTTGTCCGTAAATAAGTCTTGATTCTTTTTAAGGAAGAAAAGCTTCTTTCTGGTGTGGCGTTACTCGTAGGCAAACAACCCAGTATAATTAAAAATTTCTGTATGTAAGGAAATATATTATCACAGTTTTTTAAGGAATCTAAAACATTATCTGGCACGGTGTTAGTTCCCTTAAATTGCCGTTGCCAATATGTCTGCCAAACATCAATTTCGCCTAGGACAGAGTCAAATAGAAGATTTTCTTCAACATCAAATAATTTAAAATATTTATTTGTAAGACTAGAAATCTTTTTTCTGATCACATCAGCGGAAGATTTAATTACTACACTTGGTAGAAATATATTGAGATCAAAAATTTTCAGAACGCTGTCAGAAAAGCGCGATTCTAAATCGGATATTATATTATCTAATAACGACACATATATGGTAACTCTCCAGTAATTTTCTGGATTAGCTGCTGGATGATTTTCACGATGCGTTATTTGGTTTTATGGTAATCTAGGCATTTGCGGATGAATACCCAAATCGTCTGAATATTCTTCAATTTGTTCCCATAATTTATTGAAATTATTTTCAGAGAGTGATCTTTTTTCCATTAAAGCGTGTAAAGTCGAAGTTAAAATGTCTGTAGCTTGTGTTTTGTCTAGGTTTTTCTTCTGAAAAATAACACTCAGGGGTTGTGTAATTGACAATAGTTCAGACAGGCAGAATAAGGCTACTATAAATTCGAAGTTAAGAATGGCTATTTTGTATAAACTAGCTTTTCTGGAAGATGCCGATTCCCTCCAAGCACTAATTTTATCCAGTCCTTCAACTATTTTCTTAAAATCATTTTTAAATCTCAAGACGGAATCATGCCTTTCTGTCCAACGTGTTTCGCACAACCCTTCAATGTGATGTTTCAGGGTACTCTTCAAAATGAATTGTCTCTTCGGGGAAGCATTGAAGGAAGCCACTATTTCTTTAATGCTGCCCACCAAATTTCTAATAGCTTGAACTTGTGACGATTTTGACACACTAAGGTTCAGCATATGATTAAAACAGGCACAACGTTCTGCAACTAGAGTTTTTTTCTTAATTTCTTGAACAGCTCCGACTTGTTCGGATACCATTACCTCGCAGCCGTCTGTGCCTATTCCAACACATAGCGACGGATTAAGTTGAACAGATTTTAATAATTTTAGCGCTGTTTGACCAATAACTTTTCCTCTCATAACTGGATCAAAGTTTTCAATTTCATTAACATCGGCAGGATATGCTGCAGTATGACAATTAATAAATCCAATAAAATCTTCGTAAATATTATTATCGTATAGATATCTTACAACTAAAGACATTTGTGAAGTGTGGGATAAGTCCGTTGTTTCATCAAATAAGATACAATAATATTTCGAAGAAAAAATACGATTTTTAATTGTTACTAAAATTTCAGTACCACAAGATTCTATTAATTCATTTTGAGTTGTTTTGCTGATATACGTTGCTTTTGAGCTACAGGTTTTTAAATGGGTTTCCAAAATCTTATCACCTGCATCAATACGATATTTTAACAACTCACGAAAATTTCCCTCATTGCTTGTAACAGAGCTTTCGCATTCGGTTTCAGTAGGAAAAAATAAACCATCATCCCTGTGCCCACGAAAAGGAATATTTTGGCGACCTAATAATTTAATTGTCTTAATACTTGGTATCAGTCGAGCTCTATTTTCTTTAATTTGTTCTAATCTTTTTGAACTGATTTCATTTCTAATGTCTAGTGATGGGTTTTTATACATTTTAAGAAAAGATTGTCCTGATATTGAAGCGTTTTTGTGATATTTATTATCATTGTGTGATTGTAGTATACCATCTTTTCCGGTTAGTTTGGCAAATTTTGTTACAGGAATTGTGACTAGTCCTTTCAAAGAAAATTTTTCTTTAACTGAACAAAATATTACGCAATATTTGCAGAACAGTCCTTGATGCATGTGAGAAAAGGCTAACCATGGAAAAGAATTGATATGCCCTAAGTTTAGGTGTCGTCTTTCTAATCTTTGGCCTTCCTGCTGTTCACTGCATGGGAGTTTATAATTTCGCGGAGGAGACCATGTTTCTTTGAGGTACAAGTACTTTTCTTCGTCGGGTAAATTCAAAATTTGTGAAGGGCCAAGGTCTATAATCTTACCTATATCGTAACTATAGTTTATTAAAACATTTTCATTTGGTTCAGTGTTTTGCACATGTACAATATTTTGATTTGAGTTGCCTTCCGCCACTAAATAATTGTTTTCAGCATTAATTTGAGTTTGAGTACTTTGAATCATTTGAATGCTGTTAGAATTAAATGGTGTCGTTGTTATTGCGGTTTCTTCAATCTCCCGAATATCTGTCCCTGTAGCTGCAGGTAATTGATGAGTTTTTCTTTCCTTTGACCGTATAAAAAAATTTGTCAAGGTACATTGTCGCTTCATGGCTAAAAAATATATCAACATCATTAGGTTGATCGACATCGTCAATGACATTTTGGTATAACCTAATAAGATTTTATAAAACTATAAAACACCTACCTACATTAAGCTCTATCTCTGAAATAAATAATAAATATGGAATTGGAAACAGCACACAAACGGCATTGAAAAAACGCAAAACCGCAAAGGTTGAATTAAATTTGGCAAATAAAAGACAAAAGTATAATGATTTTAATTTCGTGTAGTCGTCTTTGCTTCTTGCTGATCGCTTATAATGTGAGATGCGACTGTGAGCGTGTCTTGCTGTCTTGACGGGGTGGCCACTGGCAGTGGCCGGTGGGGTGCACCGCGCGTTCGATAACATGGTTGTTGGTATAAACTAAACTTCAGAAAACTGGAATGATATACTGTTTGAGGTTAAAGTTCCTGGGACAAAAGTGTGATTTTTTTATAGGTTTCCAGCTTTCTAAACATTTTTAAAACTTAAAATATGGTTTTGTTTTATTTTATTTTTTTTTTAATTTTATTTTTTATTTTTTAAAGGGGGGGCAGTTGCCCCCCTGCCCCCGCTGTATCCGCCACTGCGCTACTAACACTGGCTCAATTCTGTCTGTCTTGCTCATCTCAGTCCGCTTTCCATATGAATTTATTGCTGAATTGCAATGAATATCCGACCAAATCGGTAATTAAATCAATAAGGTGGAATACCGGGCCCTCCTTTCCTAAGTAGCTAGTTGACAATATTAAATACAGTTTTTAGCTGGCGTACGTAGTAAAGCAGTTACGGTTTCGTAACAATTTGCTCCTCACAACAATATTAGTACGCCTACCACCCCTTCTATGAAAAAAATCACACTGCCTCCCATCAATGTAAAATGAATTTTACACATGAGTTATAATGGTAAAATAAAAGGGTTCGCCTAGATTAATGAAAAGTCCTTGTCACTATTCAGTGTTGTTCCGCAATTACCTTGAAAGTTTTGTACTTGGGTTGTTGAAAAGTTGGAAAAAATTGTATTATATTTTTTTAAATTGTTATAATACTTCTTTAGTTAGTGTGATTTTAATAATGAAAAGAGTCATTCACTACATAGCTCGATAAAGTTACACTTGATAATACCTTATATTAATATTCATTTTTAGAGGAAAAATCCATTTTACCGAAATGTACGACATGCTCAAGAACATGGATCCACCTTTGGGGTTTGGCAACAAATGCCCAAATAGACTGGCTTATAAGAAATTAATTCGCATGAATATGCCTGTAGACGACGATGGAAAGGTCTATTTTACTACTACTTTATTTGCATTGATTCGGGAAAATTTGGCTATTAAAATGAGAGCAGGTAACAAAACAACTCCACGCAACTTTGAGCATATTTACACCAAACGTTTACAGCTGAAGAAATGGACCAGGCCGATGCCGAACTACGCGAGACAATCAAAAACATATGGCCGTTGCAAGCTAAAAATATGGTTCACATTCTGGTACCACCAAGTACCGATTTGAACCAAGGCAAACTTACAGTCGGTAAAATTTATGGTGGCCTTCTCATATTGGAAAGTTGGAGAAGTACCCGGTTCGGACAGATCGAACCAAGCGGACTACCGGTAAGTAACATACCTACCTATACATTTAAATAACTCAATAATAAACAATTTTGAAAATTAACCTTCATATACAAAAATCTAAGATTTAAGGGTATCTATTCATATTTTGTAAAAGATCAGAAATAACTCTTTTTCTAGCTTTTTTGATTTTTTTTTGAGTTAATTCTGGTCTTTTATCACTACCTATATATACCTACTTAACAATTTATACAAACACAAATTATATGTTCCAGGTACCAATTATAAATCCCCCTACTTCGGTTCGGTACGTTATACATGATGGGTGCAGTTTTTTTTTCCAAAACTAACCAAAAGTGAACATTTGTTTCGAATAGTAGAACAAACAATTTTGAGAAAAAAAATAAACAGAGAATAACACAGCAGAATTGGCTCAAATTTATATGCTATTTTATCTTTTTCGATATTCAGAGTTCCTCCGTGAAAAGTGTGAAAACTATTTCAATTACTACCATGCAACACCATATGCATTGTATTGTAAGTTACCTATACACAGACTACAATGCAAAAGAATGTGAAGAATGCACACTACTTTTCACGTAGACACGTAGTCTCAAAAAAAAATTGTCTTTACAATTTACAAATTGTCTTTACAATTTTCTTCTTGCTATGGTTTCAAGTTGATTTTGATTAAAAAAATCAATAAAGGCTCATAGTTTTCCATGTGACTGAAAAAAAAATTTCTCTTACCAAATTCACATTTTACCTAACTTCCAGGAAATCTGCCAATTATTATCTCTCTATGTTCTTGATCTCGCTGGACTTTTATAGCTTCTTCCTCCTTTCGTCACATTGAAGATTATCCTTGACTTAGTTATTGGTAAATATTAATTTGCACAGTTTTCTAAAGAAAAATAGATATAGGATCCTGGATAATCCATAAAAGAATGTTTATGGCAAATTCTAGCTATCACTCACCTATGTTAAAAACTCATTTCTCCATGCAGTCCTTTTTGGTTAGTTTGGTGAGTTGATTTCGATCTAAAATAAAACCCAATATAGCGTACCGAGTCCTTATTTGTTTTACATAAAATATATGTTTCCCTCATACCTTTTTTCCGTTTTATATGTCACCCATCACATGTAATTATACCAATATATTTACAAAACTACTATAATTACTTGGTTGGCATATACCCATATAGGTTCTCCTTCTCCAGTTCTATGGCGAATTATTGTTCGATGTTTTAGTCATAATTTTAAAATATTGTCATGTGTGATGTGCATTTTTTGTTGTTTTATACTCCTTTTTTATTATTTTTTTTTTCCTAATAGATGAAATATCTTTTAGAAACTAAATAAATTACATAGTTTTCTGATGGAAGCTTTACTAGGGTGTTCAGGACGATAATTTTGCTTTCAAGGAAGTTCAAAATAGGCGAGGAAACACATTCGACAAAACTAGCACTATTTCAACGATTCGTTTAACTAATCAAGCTCAACTTTTCACAGAACTGAATCACAACTCACCACTACTAACTGATTTTTGATACACTTAGAATCGAAGACTTAAAAACGTATACGTTTCCAAATGCTATATTTTTGAATACCGTTCGTAACTGCTTGGTTCTGAAGCATACATTGCATGTGAAAATTTTGCATTTATTAAGACAAGCACATCCAAGCGAGGCTGCACGATTGCACGAATATACCTAAGTTTCTTTACAAATACGTTTGTATTCGTTCAGACATGATTCGTTCTTGAACTCCTGAACTACTCAGCCTGTCCTAGTGATCAGCCAGGCAAACTGGAAGAGGTTCATCTTCATCGGCTGGAAGTCTAGAAAATATTGGATCCGTTTGAAGCTGCGTTTCTCGTCCAGTTAAGAGCATCGATGGTGTATAGCAGGTTGATTTACGCTGAAAGCTTCTATAGGCCAGATGGAAAAAAAGAAACAGTTCATGTTTCTTTCGCTGGTTTTCATCCACAAATATCGACAGGTATTGATAAATGGTCCGATTTTGCCTCCCGACTGTCACACTGTGTATGAAGTTGAGTCGTTCTCTGGAAGTCTAGAAAATATTGGATCCGTTTGAAGCTGCGTTTCTCGTCCAGTTAAGAGCATCGATGGTGTATAGCAGGTGGATTTACGCTGAAAGCTTCTATAGGCCAGATGGAAAAAAAGAAACAGTTCATGTTTCTTTCGCTGGTTTTCATCCACAAATATCGACAGGTATTGATAAATGGTCCGATTTTGCCTCCCGACTGTCACACTGTGTATGAAGTTGAGTCGTTCTCGTTTTCCTTATCCCGCATCAGTTGTTTCCATACATTGGACTCAAAAATTCCTCCACTGATCGGTAGGAAGTTCCATCGGTATCCCGCGTTTGGCAATGATGTTTTCCAGTTACCCACCAGCGACTATACCGGTTTTTGATTGGGAATTAGAAATATTTCCGGCCACTTCGAAAAACAGTAAGAGAAGGACCTGCAATTACTATGTACTTACTGCAATTGTCTCCCAGGAGAAACCAGAAAAGTTCTATTCAATTTTTCCTCGGGATCGTGTCTTGGGTACTTTTTTTAATAATAATGGTCTCTTATACCTACTCGAGCTGACGTCCTATCGACTCGAAAGTGGCCACCAGTCCGACTACTGTGTAGTTTACGTAGCACTCTCCACCACCGTGGTCGACGGCATACTAGACTCCTCCCATCGGGAGTCTCGCATTTAAAAGGGATTAAGTCATCTCGCCTTCGCCCTTTGAGCCAGTAGGTAGGTATCCCTTAATCGCAAAATTTACTAAAGTTGTGAATATATTGTCACGGCTTTAAACTGTGTAACAAAAATCTTGGGTTCGTTTATTCAAAAATCAAAGTCCAATTAACACAGCAATAATTTATTCCACGTGACTATACACTCTGATACTAATTACTTCAACAATTAACTCAACAACTAAACTCTTCACAACTCAATAATAACGACTATCTAAATCGTATCACAGTCAAACTTAAACTTAAAACTACTACCTAATAGCGGCCTTTATATATCCATAAATCTATTCATAAAAAATCCAGAATAAACACGATAATCCGATTCCCGAATAAACCGAATTTTATTGAATTCCAAGTTGGATTCTCGACATCCTGGCGGCGTTTATCGTTAAAATATGGTCTTCGTGATAGGCTGTCGGCGTTTTTTTTTTTTTTTTTTTTTTACGGATATGCGCACTCGCATGGAAATGTCCTATCACGCTCGAGAAGCGGCAAGTGTGCGGAAATGTCGGTGTATGTTGGTCTTGAAACGGTTCAGGTTGTAACCTGCAGGGAAAACCGTCGCAGGGAGTTTATTCCACAGCGATGCTGTTCTCCAGAGATATGAATTCTGATATAATGAAGTTCTAGGTGCCTCTAGTTTGACAGTAAATTCATGGTTACCGTCTGTTTGACGGGTTCGCCTGGTAGGTGCTACTCTCGGTGGAATCATACGTGCCAACTCTTCAGAGCATTTTCCGTGATAGTACCTGTAGAAGAGAGATAAATCGCCCACAGATCTGCGATGTTCGAGACCATCCAAGTTACGAGTAAGTGCGGGGTCATTGATCAGGTTGATAGCTCGTTTTTGCACGGTGTTCAAAAGCATTAAGGTATGTTTGGGTGCTGCACTCCATATATGTGAGCAGTACTCCATAGTTGGTCGAATCTGGGCTTTGTAGAGTGTCAGCCAATTGGCTTGGTGTGTACAGATGTCTTGTACGAAATAGCACCCCCAGCTTTTGGGACGCCCTTTTAGCAATACCTGCCACGTGACTGTGCCAAGACATGTTGGTCTCTGCAGTAACCCCCAAGATGTTCAACTGACTCTGTAATGTGACAGCACTTCCAGATAGCATGATGTTTGGCTCACCGGTGCTGGTCTTTTTTGAAAACAGAGCTGCTTGGGTTTTCTGCGCGTTGAACTGTAGAAGGTTTTTGTTACCCCAGTCGTCTATTATCTCCAGGTCGTTATTTATCTGCGATATTTGAGTTAGTCTAAGATGATGGAATTCACGTGCGGATAGACCTGTGGGTGGTATGAGTGAGGAGACTACATTGCCATCGTCTGCAAAGCAATAAAGTGGATTTACTGTTTTATCTATGAGGTCATTTATGTAAATCAGAAAAAGAGTTGGCGAAAGGATTGCTCCCTGTGGCACACCAGCATTTATTTGGTAAGAGTTGGAGTTTTGGCCATCCAGTGCAACATAAATGGATCTGTCCTTTAGGTAACTTTCAAACCAAGTGCAAAGTTTCGGCGATAATCCCATTGCTTTGAGCTTGTTGAGCAGATTTTCATGCCAAACTTTGTCGAATGCTTTAGATATATCTAAGGCAATTGTTCTTGTTTCACCCCGCAACTCAATCGCTTTTTGCCATAAGTGAGTGACGTATGTAAGTAAATCGCCAGTTGACCTATATTTTCGAAATCCGTATTGCTTATCGTTGATAATTTTGTACTTTTCCAAGTACTTGGTTAGGTGATTGTTCACAACTCTTTCCATTACTTTTGATATCACCGGAAGTAGAGCAATTGGTCTATAGTTTAACGGATCTGTCTTTTTTCCTTTCTTTGGAATGGGTTGTACTGCGGCAGACTTCCATGATGATGGATATACTCCTTGCCTGTAAGGCAAATTGAATAATTTTGCGAAAGTTGGGGTGAGTTCGTTGGCGCAATTTTTGAGTACTATTGCGGGAATGCCATCCGGATCCATTGCTTTGTTTGTATCTAGCTTTTTAAGGGATTTTCGTATTTCTCTGTGATAAAAGGGTACCTCTGGCATACTATGGGAAACCCTTTCAATGAACGGTGGAGTTTTTCCGTTTGGCACTGTTAGGTTGGAGTTGGAGGAAAACATTTGGGCCAGCATATTGGCTTTTTCCTCTGATGTTGTGGCTAAGTGATTATTTTTATCTGTAAGTGGTGGTATGGATGACTTGGTGAAGTTAGATCCAACAGCTTTTGCAAGAGACCAAAAGGACCTAGAACTACTTGGACAAT